TCACTCTGCTTTTATGAGCAGAGAGCTTTTGCCAAGGAAGAAGGTGAGAGAAGGAGAATCACGGTGTCTCACTCTCCACAACCAGGGCAAGAGTTTACAAAGTTAGCCCCACAAAAAATAAATAAATGACAAAATAAACTATGTCAACGCAGGTGATTCATGTGTGAAGCCCCTGCGAATATGCTTTCTTATGTCAATGGGCGAATGACCACTGAGAACCCATCTGTCTTTCTGGATTTCAGACGGTCTCAATTGCCACTGTTATATATCCTTATATTTGCAAGTGTTACGGCTCAAGAAGTCTTTGTGCATATGTACTCAATCACAGGACTTCTAGTCTTCAAAATCAACGTACATGAAGCCTTTAGGACTACAAAATCCATGATGCAGTGTGACTGAAGTCCTCTTGTGACGTTCAGGCACTCTTTACCATGTTGCATTGCAGACTCATGCACCCAGCCTTTTCAAAACCATTTTGCCCAGGGAATCAAGCCACAACAACGTCAATTAATTTAAGGATACGTGCAGTTGCAGAACATTGTTCCCTGGCGCTGAATATCCTGGATTTCAGTTCATGTGAGTTGAGATTCAATTTCAAGTCAGATAAAATAAATAAATATCTAAGCCAGCACATGGAATTAAACATTTTTGATGTACAAGCCTTTAAACTGAGACATACGGATCTTTTGATCTGCAAACTCAGTATAGTGCATCATCGTTCAAGACTGTCAGCTTGGGTATCTGTGAATGCTTTCCCCTTGTTAGGTGCATGAGCATTTAAAATAATGCATGGCAACATAAAATTCAACAGGTCAGGTTTCCTCCCTTATTGTCTTGCTATGACAGCATCTTAAAAAGCAGAGACATCACCTTGCCAACAAAGGTCCATATAGTTAAAGCTATGGTTTTCCCAGTAGTGATGTATGGAAGTGAGAGCTGGACCATAAAGAAGGCTGATCGCCGAATAATGGATGCTTTCGAATCATGGTGCTGGAGGAGACTCTTGAGAGGCCCATGGACTGCAAGAAGATCAAACCTCTCCATTCTGGAGGAAATCAGCCCTGAGTGCTCACTGGAAGGACAGATCCTGAACCTGAGACGCCAATACTTTGGCCACCTCATGAGAAGAGAAGACCCCCTGGAAAAGACCCTGATGTTGGGAAAGACGGAGGGCACAAGGAGAAGGGGACGACAGAGGACGAGATGGTTGGACGGTGTTCTCGAAGCTACCAGCATGAGTTTGACCAAACTGTGGGAGGCAGTGGAAGACAGGAGTGCCTGGCGTGCTCTGGTCCATGGGGTCACGAAGAGTCGGACACAACTAAACAACTAAACAACAACAACAAATGACAAAAGGTGCTGTGTTTCTGTATGTCATGCAGAGAAGGACATAAAAAAAACAAAAATGTATACCACTTCTTCTCTCAGTTTTGCTTTTTCCAGATTTTCCAAAAGTGACCCATGTTGGTAACATCAGAGCAGTGTGGTTTGGATCTGGTGTAACATCATGTCAGCTTAATTTACACCACTTCGCTTTATACCAGCTCCTCATGCTCCCATAGACTTGGTGGGTTTTTGTTTGTGACTAGTTGTCTGCAGATGTACCATCAAAATCAAGTATTGTCTGGCCTGTTAACTGCGGGAGTCCCCTGTACATTGATGGGACATTTGTAGACAACATTTCATAAAGGCTGTGTTCCAACAGGTTTTTAGTGATATCACACCAAACAGGCTGGAACAAATAGGTGTCATTTTTGCATATTTCACATCACGATGTTTTCTGCACGCTCAAATGCGGATGCTATCCTTCAGTTATCACGGAGACTGTTTGCCTAGAAACCTGTGTTTACACTGTAAAACCTTGGCGGGCATATGCTGAGGAAATATTAAAGTTATGTTGCTTGTTTTAGTACTGTTGGCGCAAAGGAAATCTAGACGCTATAAAAGGAGAAATCCCTGGATACCTGAATCCAGGTTTGGGGCAAGTACACTTTGGTGAGAGAACCCCAGCAGAGATTTAAAATCACAAAATATGCAGCAAAATAAAGCATGGGAATATAGGCGGTTAGACCTTTAAAATATGTGCTTCCAAGTTCCTTCCAAAGTTTTGCTCTTCCCCTAACATAGAAAAAGACCACTCGTTGCCAGGTTATAACATAGTTTACTTACCAACACTCCAAAGGTCAGATTCATGGGCTTTTGCATACAGCATTCGGAAAAAGTTGCACAGGCAGTAAAACTTGGCTTAGTTCCAAAGTGGTGAAAGTTCCTAGATTATTGAGAGGCTTGTTAGAGCCATGTTCCTGGAGGGAGCAGCTCAGAGCTCCCTGCACACCAAAGTTCACATGTAGACTAGGAGGGAACAAAGGCTTGATTGTCTAGTTCCTCCCAAGGTGGGAGGGAATGGACTTAGCTGAGCCTGGCAAGACAGCTTACTCCATGGTATTAACCCCTTCATGCATTAATTAGACTTATGCATGTTGGTTATATAAAGAAAAATGTTTGCATTAGGGGAAAACACACATACCAATGCATATAATAATAAGAATAGCATACACAGTGTACATGATTTTGGGGGAAAATAGCATTGCAAAAATATGTATATTAGGCAAAATTGCATCCCAAAATGCAATTTCGATTCATATAAACATGCTGCTAAATTTTCTTGAGGACTTGCTTTAAAAAAATAAATCACCAACTGATGTGGAAATGTGAATAACTGTGCTTAGGAGTAGAAGAATGAGGAAGGGTGGGAAACTGAAATTGACAGAATAGCCTATTCCTCCTTGGCTGTCTATCTGAGGGCACACAGGCTTGGGTTTAGCATTGAATTCAGCCTAAAAGAGAATGGCAGCTTGAAATTTGAGGGAACAATTTTCCAAAGCTACTTGTGGGGCACAGGTGCATTGCTTTTTTCAAAACCGGCCATTGCTGTTGTGTTACGAGTCTTTGCTAGGTCCAGGGCCTGGCTGCAACGAGTCAATCAATCATTTTATTAGTATCCCGCCTTTCTCAAGGCAGCTTGCAGCATATTTTAAAAATTACATAACAAGCTTGCAGCACATTTTAAAAATTACATAACAAAAGTCGTTAACAATAAGCACAACAACACAAAGTATACAATGGAATTTAACAATTTCCACATAAATCATAAGATACAACATAAAGATACAAAAAATAACAGCAGCACAGCAACAATCCTGGACCACAAAACCCCAACCCAAGATTCTGTTCAGCAGCCTCAGCTCTTGCAGCTAAGTCAGCCAGGGCCCCTGACTGCTAATATGTTGCAATGCAAATGTGATTAGCCAAAGCCCCAGAGGGCATATGCATTTCTCACAGACACCATTCTGGATCATGAGCGCTGCTTTCAAGATGGATTTTTCTTCAGCTTGTTTTTGTGCATTCCTGTAGAGCAGGCTGATGTTTTCGTAGTGGGATGAGAAATCTCACCAGCAATTGCGTAAAACAATGAAATGTCAGGAGCTATTAGGGCAAGAACTGGAACAAGACAGGGGTTTATTAGAGGAGGAAGATCCCATAGCAGTAGTGGAGATTCACGGATCGCCCAAGATTGGTACCCAGGAAGATGCTCGACTCGGGACTTTGGCTGCGGATTCGAAAGAGCTCTTCAGACTCTCCAAAAGCACCTCCACAGCACAGTCAAAATAGGTCAAGTGGTGGTGCAGACTAGATAGTACAGTCATACCTCGGCTCCCGAATGCCTTGGGAGTCGAACGTTTTGGCTCCTGAATGCCGCAAACGCGGAAATGAGTGTTCTGGTTTTTGAACGTTCTTTCGGAAGCCGAACGTCCGGCGGGGCTTCCGCAATTTCGGATTGGCTGCAGGAGCTTCCTGCAGCCAATCTGAAGCCATGCTTTGGAAGTTGAACGTTTTGGAAGTCGAACGGACTTCTGGAACGGTTTCTGTTTGACGTCTGAGGTACGACTGTGCAGTGCTTATGTATCAGCAGGAAGCTTTCTTTTCCAGAGTCCTCTTTGAAATAAAGAAGCCAGAGCGCAGACATACTCTGGATCTGGGCCTGTTGATGCTTGGAGCAGAAAGCCATCAATCGCCATCAGCCAAGAAGGTTATGTTTTGCCATGACCATTGGAGAGAGTAGGCCTCTGAACACCAGTTGCCAGGAATCACAAGAGGCAAGGTCTACTTATGGTCTTCCCATAGGTACCTAGGTGACTACCATGAAAATAGGATGCTGGAGTAGATGGGCCTTTGGCCTGATGGCATTCCATTTTACAGTCTATGGGCCCAATTCAGTTGCACAATGCAAACTTTTTAAATAAAATAAATAAAACACAACACCTGTATTTGTCCAGCTGTTGTTGTTGTTGTTCTTTAGTCATTTAGTCGTGTCCGACTCTTTGTGACCCCATGAACCAGAGCACGCCAGGCACTCCTGTCTTCCACTGCCTCCCGCAGTTTGGTCAAACTCAAGTTGGTAGCTTCAAGACCACTGTCCAACCATCTCGTCCTCTGTCGTCCCCTTCTCCTTGTGCCCTCCATCTTTCCCAACATCAGGGTCTTTCCCAGGGAGTCTTCTCTTCTCATGAGGTAGCCAAAGTATTGGAGCCTCAGCTTCAGGATTTGTCCTTCCAGTGAGCACTCAGGGCTGATCTCCTTCAGAATGGAGAGGTTTGATCTTCTTGCAGTCCATGGGACTCTCAAGAGTCTCCTCCAGCACCATAATTCAAAAGCATCCATTATTCGGCGATCAGCCTTCTTTATGGTCCAGCTCTCACTTCCATACATCACTACTGGGAAAACCATAGCTTTAACTATATGAACCTTTGTTGGCAAGGTGATGTCTCTGCTTTTGCTGCTAGCAAAAAATTTAAAAAATGCTAGCATTTCCACAGCCTTGATATTTTTTGTTAAGAACCTCGTTCCTAGCAGCCATCCCCCCCCCAACCCAAAGCAATCTTGCTGTCACTTCTGCACGACATTCCATGATCCAAGCTTTAATTGGTTATGCATTGTTCCCAGAAGGTGAGATGAGATTGCACAGAGCCATACATTAGTCAGAATAATTATTCTACACTTGGCCCACTCAAAGTTTCCTTCCTAGTTAGTCAAACAAAATGGAGCGATCTTGATTAACTAATCTTCCCACATCAGCGTTTTAGGGTGTGTCTTTTCTTCTTCTTCTTCTTCTTTCCACTGAGTACTTCACAGATTCTTCTTTTAAAGAAAATCACTACAATTAAAAAAGCAATTAAAAAGGATTATCAGAATCAAAGTTGATCTTTAATTGCTATGCATATCTAGATCTTTCTTCCACGATACGCCAGATAAAATGCTCTTAAAAACTGCTTTCTTAATAGCTTTAATTATGGAGAACATAAGAAATGTCATCCTTTTGAGGTGCATCCCAATTCCAGTTGAGCCCATTTAGGGGCTGTCATCGAAAAAGTTTGTTTCACTCTATCTTTTCAGGCTGCGGCTGAGCAAGCAGTTTTATTATCCTTTCCGAGCGCTGGAAATGGGACATCTTAGGATCATTCTGATTAGCTTGGATAAACCTGAAAGAATGCCTGAGCTAGAAAAAGATTACTGCTTTAAAAGGGATATTCTAAAGTAGTAAATTGTGGGAGGCCTTTGCAGGATAACGGCTGCTGATATTGCTTCACAGGAAGAACACCGGCCATATTTCCAGAGTCTTTCTAGGAATCAAATTAGTGTGACCTGTCCTGTAAACACCAGCCAGCGTCTCGACTCTTCTCTGCTTATCCACACAGAGAATGGGCGGGGAAGGGCTATAGATCAATGTTTGAAGATCTGCCTTGCGTGCAGAAGTTCTCAGGTCTCCTTCTCAAGATCTCTATATAGGGCTGGGAAGGACTCCTGTTGGAAAACCTAGAGTTCTGCTGGCAGACACTGTTGACAAACCTTTTCAGACACAGGACCCACTTGTGCATCTGGGGACCCGTTTCCTCGTTTTCTTTTTTAACATACCGTATTTTTTGCTCTGTAGGATGCACCAGACAATAAGACGCACCTAGTTTTGGGGGGAGGAAAACAAGAAAAAAAATATTTTGAATCCCAGAAGCCAGAACAGCAAGACGGATCTGGCTTCTGGGATAACCGCGCCAAGCCTCTTCAGGGCAGCGGGATGAAGGCTCCCCCTGCCTGGAAGAGGCTGCGCACGGCTGAGGCAGAAGCCAGGACAGGCACGTCGCTGAAGTGGCGATGCGCAGTTCTCCCTCTCTGCCCAGCGCCTCTCCTGCAAAGGAAAGGCGCTGCGCAGAGAGGGAGAACTGTGCAGTGCCCCTTCAAGTGAAGCTGGAGAAGGAACAGAAGGAGACCCTTCTGTTCCTCCTCCGGCTTCCAAGACAGGCGCATCACTAAAAGGGTGCTGCGCAGTTCTCCCTCTCTGCACAGCACCTCTCCTGCGAAGGAGAGGCGCTGCACAGATAGGGAGAGCTGCGCAGCACCCCTTAAGTGAAGCGGGAGGAGGAACAGAAGGGGCTCCTTTCCTCCTCCCACTTCGCTAAAGGGGTGCTGCGCAGTTCTACCTCTCTGCGCAGCGCCATTCACTCCATAAGACGCACTCACATTTCCCCTTGCTTTAAAGGAGGAAAAAAGTGCATTTTATGGAGTGAAAAATACTGTATATTTGAATCATAGTAGTGGTGTTGGTGACTCACCTTAGACCAGACCCACAACACAGCTGTGTGGTTCTAACTGTGTAGACAATACTGTTCTAGACTGTGTAGATGGTACTGTTCTAGACAAAGCAACAGCCAGAGGACGAGCTAGCCGCTCAGGCACCCGGAGTGGCACACATGCCGTGCACCGGGGGGGCGAGCCGCCCAAGGGGGCGGGGCAATTGGCGCCCATTGGGGGCCATTGGTGGGCCATTGGCACCTAGGGGAGCCAGCATGGTATAGTGGTTAAGAGCGGTGGACTCGTAATCTGGTGAACCCAGTTCGCTTCCCCGCTCCTCCACATGCAGCTGCTTGGTGACCTTGGGCTAGTCACACTTCTCTGAAGTCTCCCAGCCTCACTCACCTCACAGAGTGTTTGTTGTGGGGGAGGAAGGGAAAGGAGATTGTTAGCCGCTTTGAGTCTCCTTAGGGTAGTGATAAAGCGGGATATCAAATCCAAACTACTCTTCTTCTTCTTCTTCTTCTTCTTCTTCTTCTTCTTCTTCTTCTTCAGGGTGCAATTGGCGCGGCAATCTGCCCAGAGGGGATTTTGTCACCCCTCAGGGATGACACCCGGGGTGAGGGGTCCCCCCTGCCCCCCTTCCTACGCCCCTGCCAATATCCCCTTTCCGTATATAAGGCACTTTCCTACTTTCCTGTGCCAGTGGCAATCCAATCTGCACATTTGGAGTGTTGGGCTGTCCCAAAAACCTGCCCTCCAATTTCTGCAAAATTCTCTTTCTCTGTGAAAGAGGCTTCAACTCTTATTTTTTTCTGCCATGTCTTCAGGGCATTTGAGAATTTCTTCCAAGTTTCTTTAAAATTTTGGCAGATGTGGGTTTTGTGTTTACCTACAATGTGGCCAAAGGTAGGACGTGCAGTTTCTCTTCCCTGTCTCTCCAGAACCCTGCAACACAAGAACGTAATAAGAAGAGACTCCTGGATCAGGCTAATGGTCTATCCAGTCCTCCATCTTGTTCTCATAGTAGCCAACCAGATGCATCCCTGGCTGGTTTTGAAAAAAAGCCCCACAAGAGGGGTTTCCTTGTGATGTCTTCCCCTGGGCTTTCTTTGAAGCCAGGGCACCCAGGAAGGCTGCAGAGTGAAGGTGTCTGGTGAGATGAATCACAGAACAAAACAAAGGACGCCTGTAAACACCCCCTGGCTTCCTCAATCCAATTACATTATTATCATCATTATTAGGTTTTGATTTGATTTCTTATATTTCTGCGCCACTTTTCATTCACACGAATCACAAAGTGGCTTACAAACAATAAACAACAGTCACATGGTAGAACATCACAAATACAACACAAGTCACGTGGAATAATTCACAAATCATCAGGAAAACAATTACAAAGCATCAGGAAAACAATTACAATCTATTAAACGCTGATTAACAAAACAACTAAAAATAAAGTAAGTTGAACAGCACAATGACAACAAAAGTTATATTATAGGATTCACAAAGTACCACAGCATTATATACTTATTTATAGCCAATATTTTCCCCCTGACAGGGGCTCAGATCAAATAGGAACAACTAAAAACATAGGGGATACAATCATTAAAAACAATTAAACATTTGTAGAATTTAAAACTATACCTAAATATAAAAGTTCTATTAAAAACATACAGATAATTACAATGGAACCACCAGCCCTTTCACTGAAGGTAGCCAGTTCCCTAAAGCCTGTTGGAACAAGAAAGGGGACCTCAAGCAGAGAGCCAGTCTAGCTTTTCCATGGACTGAGTTCCAAGGTCTGGGAGCAGCCACCAAGAAGGCCCTGTCCTGCATCCCCAACAAGCATGCTTTTGAGGGTGGTTGGGCCAAGAGAAGGGTCTCCCTCAAATTTCTCAGAACCCGGGCAGGTTCGTATGAGGGAATACAGCTTTTCCAATAGCTTGGACCAAACTTCTCCCCTCCTCCACACCCAGTAAGCAGCAGTGATCCACTGGCCAAGATGTTAGCCTGGTGCTTCTGGCCCTAAGGACTCAAAGCAGGTAATCAGCTTTTGTGCTATTCAGTCAAAATAGTTGTTTTATTATTATTACATGAGAATCAACATTATGGGGTGAGCTTAACAGAGGAAGTCTGAGCACGATCATTCCCCCAGAGTTGCCTGTTGATTTGGTTTCTCGGTGGCTGTTACATTTGCATGGTTATGCCTCTATGAGCCTCCTCTGCATGACTGGAAAGAATGATTTTTTTAAAAAGAAAAAAAGCCAAGAATTTCCCAATACCCGGACTTCCCCTGACTAGATACGAATCAGATTAGGATAATCCTCTACTATTACATACAGTGACAGGTACCTGAGAGTTGGCATCACCAGGTGAAGGTAAACTGATGTCAGCAGCGGCGATGGGAGATGGGAGCATCTGACAGGTGATTATCAGTAAGTAATGCTGCTAATAAGCATAAGAATGTAAGGAGGGTCCTGCTGAATCGAGACAAAGGCCGATCTCATCCAGCAACTTGTTCTCAAAGTGCATGCCATGCTCTAGTTATCTCCCGCTTGGACTACTGCAATGCGCTCTACGTGGGGCTACGTTTGAAGGTGCCTCGGAAATTGCAATTAATCCAGAATGCGGCAGCCAGACTGGTGACTAGGAGCGGCCGCCGAGACCATATAACACTGGTCCTGAAAGATCTTCATTGGCTCCCAGTACGTTTCTGAGCACAATTCAAAGTATTGGTGCTGACATTTAAAGCCCTAAACAGCCTCAGCCCAGTATATCTGAAGGAGCGTCTCCATCCCCAACGTTCTGCCCGGACACTGAGGTCCAGCGCCAAGGGCCTTCTGGCGGTTCCCTCACTGCGAGAAGTGAGGTTACAGGGAACCAGGCAGAGGGCCTTCTCGGTGGTGGCACCTGCCCTGCAGATGTCAAGGCAATAAGCAACTATTTTACTTTTAAAAGAAAACTGAAGGCGGCCCTGTTTAGGGAAGTTTTAAATATTTGATGCTGTATTGTTTTTAATATTTGGTTGGAAGCCGCCCAGAGTAGCTTGGGAAACCCAGCCAGATGGGCGGGGTATAAATAATAAATAATAATAATAATAATAATAATAATAATAATAATAATAATTACTACTACTACTACTACTACTACTACTACTTCTACTACTACAGTGCCCAGTAAGAAAGAATCATAGACGGGCAGAGCTGGAAGGGACCCGAGGGCCATCGAGCCCAACCCCACAGGAAGAAGGACCTGAGTAAAAGAACACTCTCCTTATGATTCCCAGCAAGTGATATTCAGAGGAATGATGCACTCGACAGCAAGGGTATCAATGGCCACTAGCCAAGATGTGGCAGAGTATTGTAGAGTTGGGAAAGGGCAACCCAAATGATCTGGGGGGAGGGGGGAGCAACTGAGGAAAGGTTACACACAGCATTTGGATCTTTGTAGCTTAGGCAGTGAGAGATTTTCCTTTCTTGGGCTCCATGATCACTGCAGATGGTGACAGCAGCCACAAAATTAAAAACACCAGCTTCTTGGGAGAAATGCAGTGACAAACCTAGACAGCATCTTAAAAAGCAGAGACATCACCTTGCCAACAAAGGTCCATATAGTTAAAGCTATGGTTTTCCCAGTAGTGATGTATGGAAGTGAGAGCTGGACCATAAAGAAGGCTGATCGCCGAAGAATGGATGCTTTTGAATTATGGTGCTGGAGGAGACTCTTGAGAGTCCCATGAACTGCAAGAAGATCAAACCTCTCCATTCTGAAGGAAATCAGCCCTGAGTGCTCACTGGAAGGACAGATCCTGAAGCTGAGGCTCCAATACGTTGGCCACCTCATGAGAAGAGAAGACTCCCTGGAAAAGACCCTGATGTTGGGAAAGATGGAGGGCACAAGGAGAAGGGGATGATGGAGGACGAGATGGTTGGACAGTGTTCTCGAAGCTACCAGCATGAGTTTGACCAAACTGGGGGAGGCAGTGGAAGACAGAAGTGCCTGGCATGCTCTGGTCCATGGGGTCAAGAAGAGTCGGACACGACTAAATGACTAAACAACAGCACAAGCTTAGACAAAAGTTTGTAATCATGCATGCTGCAAAGGAAAGGACTAGGGAGTTTCCCCCCCTCTCTTTAAGAACACTGGAACTTGGGGACAGCCAATGAAGATTCAGAACATAAAAAGGGAATGAGTTCTTCATAAAGTGGAAAGCTAAGCTATGGCATTTACTCTCACAAGACTTAGTGATTGCCACCAATCTGGATGGCTACGAAAGAGGATGAGACAAATTCAGGGAGGAGAGAGCTATCAGTCATGACTAACCATGATCAGTACCGGATTTACATATAAGCTAAACAAGCTATAGCTTAGGGCCCCACTCTCTTGGGGGCCCCCAAAAAAATTAAAGGGGGAAAAAACGGATGTACATTTCCAGAATATAAGATAAAAAACAAATAAAATAAAACCCGTGTTTGCTTGCATTATAAGTTTGTTATGAATAAAAATCATTTTAAGTTAGAGCTTAATCATTATTTCACTATTAATGTACTTCTTTTTAATTGTATTGCACTACAGTGGTGCCTCGCAAGACGAAATTAATCTGTTCCGCGAGAGTCTTCGTCTAGCGGTTTTTTCGTCTTGCGAAGCAACCCTATTAGCGGCTTAACGGATTAGCGCTATTAGCGGTTTAGCGGCTATTAAAGGCTTATCGGCTTATCGGATTAGCTGCTAAAAGGCTATTAAAGGCTTAGCGGCTTAGATAAAGGGGGGGAAAAGCGGGAAAAAAATCTCAAGACTCGCAAGACATTTTCGTCTTGCGAAGCAAGCCCATAGGGAAATTCGTCCTGCGAAGCAACTCAAAAACGGAAAACCCTTTCGTCTAGTGGGTTTTCCGTCTTGCGAGGCATTCGTCTTGCGGGGCACCACTGTATTAATATACTTCTTAATTGTGTTTCAGTTCAACAATTACTTTGATAAAATACATATTTTTGTTATGTGCAAATGGCTTTAGCTACTTATTAGGTCCATAAATTACCATACAGCATATATTCAACACAAAAAACAGCTG